AAGTTGTAGAGAAGAATTACTTATTACCTATGTGAATGGAATTTTATACTACTCTGACATGATTATGTCTGGAATTTATGAACCCATCGCATAGTACTATTACTAGGGTTTCATTTTTTAAGTCTTGATTCCAACAGGTTTTAAAATAATTTAAAAAAACGTATTCTAAAAATTAAAAAATTACAGACTATATCATTATAATAATATTCAGGGTTTGTATTCATCGTAATTATTCAAAGGACGATAAATCATAATTTTAAGTAGGCACCCAGTTCGGTTGATTTTAAAATGACAATGACTCAAACCGGTTATCTTACCTACCTATTATAATATTATTATTCTCGGTTAGAAGATTTTATAAAAATATTTGACCGGCATCAAAAAATATAGTGTTCACGTTTTATTATACGCAGTAGCCGCTGTAATGTAATGAAATTAAAATATAATATATTATTAATGYAGTATCACGTTAATGTCCTAACACGTCAGTGAGATTAAATTAATCACTCGCATATAATCTATTAGGCATGTAATATTAGTTACTTGTCGTAATATTTACTACGACAAACAACAACATAATATTATTTCGTTTTGATAATTACCGAGTATCATATTATAACGCGATAAAAGCGTGCGAATCGACAACCGAGTTGTTTTTATTATTATTATTATTATTTTCTTATTTTTTTTTCTCGATATCAAAACTAAACATCCCAAATTACAAATAATTAATGTATTAATCGAAATCGGCTACTAACGGGATTTAAATGTATTCGATTACGATCGTTATCACTATTATGTAAATTAGATTTGAATAAAAACGACAATATTATAATAATATTATAATGTATAATAATATGTGATGGTAAATAGGTTCTAAAACTGATACCAATCAGTCATGTACACATTGGTACCTAACCTAACTGGTAATATTTCGCTGCGGCTCGACAAGGGAATATTATCATATTTCGTCCTGGCACGTCACGTGATTTTTGCAGTCGGTGTCTTTCTTATTTGCGTTGGTCGTGACTTTCGCGTAGTTATCGCATTCGAAACCGACCAAATGGTTCGAGATAGTATTGAGACGAAAAAACATATTATAAACTTACTAGAAAAATATATTATCGACAACCGCTCGTCTGCCGCTAGGGCGGATGAGACGCGTTTGAATTTGAAATTTTAATTTGAAAAAATGAAAAAAAAAAATAAAAAATTTGAATTCGATCGGTTGGGCGATCTTTAAATAAACAAAAATACAAAAATATAAATGTCAATATTGTTACGCGTCCGTTAACGGCCGTCGACGTCAAGCGACTAGAAATTTGGTTTTCGTTAAAATATTTTAATACTCAGGTACTCATCATTATTATTACTTATWATATTATATGTGAAGGTTGAGCGCACGCGCRCGTTATTTTAGGAACTCCCGGCACACACACTCGCTGACCCCCATAGATCCCCGAAACAAGCACGTGGAAGCAGCRGCAGATGATCCAGACGATCTTCGTCTCGACAGTGTTTCGTCAGTAATCGTGTAGTGGTGTGTTAGTCGTCGTCGGCGGTACCTATACGTACGGGCGACCGGCAAACACTATWTAAGATACGATATGGTCTACCACTCGTCCTTTCCGCAGTGACGACGACAGACGAACGATAAACAGCAGCAATAATATTATAACAATGTTATATCTTAATGTTATCGATATTGTCGCGTCATCGTAATAATTATAACCATCGAGATCGAAATCGTCTGCGTTCTGTTGATGTTTTCCTATTTTTAATAATAATATTTGTACTGWATTTTTTTTATTTTTTTTTTATTACGATTTAATATCTTACGTCAATAATTAATGCGGCATAACGTTATAACGAAGTTGTCTAATACCATTATTATGAACACGTTTCTCACGTGGGTTTTTGTTCTGTCGTTTAAGGGGGCCATACAAGAAATGAAAATCTACGCATCGCCAGATTTCGCCGATATCCAGTGCACGGAACTTTTGCAGGTAAGTCCTCGCCCGCTGACATAGGTAGGTAAAACGTACGCTACATAATATATAATATATATATAGGTACGTGCGTGTGGTTTTATCTCATCTCCGGTTAAAAACATGCTTAAAATAATGTTATTATATTGTATAATGTAGCTACACTACACCCACCCGAATTCGTCCTGGTAAAAATTATTAATTTATCCCACACATAGTTATTTACCCACGCTGGCTTAGGTTGAAAAAAATAACAATAATAAATATATTACAGATATACGATTATTWTTAGTTTGATTTTATGATGATTTTACACTGTCTTGTTCCAGTGGAGATTTATTTTTTTATGTGAATACAAAAAACTGGAGACATTTGTGGGTTCATGAGTGGGTGTTTTGACTTTAAGATTATTTTATTTTCTTTTTACTTAGTTCAAGCAAAGATTACGGTTACCAAGTGAATGAAAAAAATTAATACTTTAATTAACTATACAGGTTGTCCCGCGAGTACATTGCGATATCTCACGAAATAATAGAGATATAAGAATTCTGGTTTTATAATCAGAAGATTCGCATGGATAAGAACTACAGTTATTTTTTAATTTATTTTGATGTTTTGGTAAAAAAGTTAAAAATATATTTTTTTATTTAATTATTTTCAAAAAAATTGGCCATATCAATTTTATAGAGTTTATTTTTCTGAAAACATTGACGTTTCAAAATGT